ATAAGAATGCGTACAAAGTGTTGGTTTTGAAAATAGTTCAAAGAGATGTTTGTTGTGAAAGATGTTTTTTAAAGTGATTTTGAAAAGTGCCTTTGTAATAATTCTCGTCTCTATAAGAATGCGTACAAAGAGCTTTGACTTTTGAAAATAATTCAATTGAAGGTGTTGGTGTGAAAATGGTTTTTTAGTTGTGAGCAAGCAAGCAACTACGATCATTTTACCTACTCAAAAAGTCTAATATTCTTTTCCTCCTCCTTTAGATGTTGCTATCTTACCATTGATTTAATAAGAAGCCCCATCGTTGGATGTGAAGGGACGAGCGTGGGTCATTGTATAGTCATATAAGGCAACCTATGATACATTTTAGCAATTTTGTTAGGGACTAGATCATTTACTGAAGGCAGCATCGAGGGACTATGATCTTTTATCGAGGGTCTTTGCTAAAACGCCCATATTCGAGGGACATGACTATTTTCCGAGGTAACAAGTGAGATTATCCTAGAGGTGCATGTGTGCATAGTGTGTTTGATTGAATGCATTTAGTCTTTTGATTTTGGATTGTCTACTTGTTGGTTTTATCTTGCCATACATCCTAATTACTAAAATTTGTATAAAGAAATAAAAATGCAGAAAATAAATATCCTACACTATTACAACCATATTGAATAGCAAGAAAAGATAAAGACAAAACAAAATAAAAGAAGGGAACATAAGTTTTTCGATCTAGGAAGAATGCACCCTTCGATTCTGCTCTTCATGGCTTCTTTCAATTTGGGCCTAGAAGTCAACGTGAGATACAGCCTTCGATTCATCCTTTTGGCTACTTCTTTCGATTGGGCCTGGAAGTCAGTGTTCGTTTCTCCCTTCTTGCTCCTTCGTTTGGATTGTGAAGCAATATGGGCCTGCAAAGCAGCAATGATTGTGTATCCTCTGTTCATGCCCTCTTTGTCTTTCGTTTGGGGATTGTGAAGCAGTAAGGGGGCGAAGCCTAAGGCTTCGTTTCATACAAAACTTTTTCTTTCGTTTGAGGTTTGTACAAGTTAGTTTTAACGTATACTTGGACAAGAAAAGCATGCAATCGAAAGGACAGAAATAAAAAGTGAACAAATATTATTTACATGCTTGAAACAAAAAGGTTCAGGTTACAATGACTTACCTTGCTTGAAGCTGGAACGTGTGTGCTGGACCTTGAGTGGCTGCCCTGAGTGTTCCTGGATTCGAAGGAAAGAAACAAGGGTAGTGTTTCTAGTGCTGGATTCGAAAGAATTGAACCAAGTGTTTAGTTGCTTCTGGATTCGAAAGATAAAAGAAACAAGTGTTGTGTTTCTAGTGCTGGATTAGAAAGCAAGAGCAAAATGTTGGGTTGGTGTTTCCCTGGGTTCTGGATTTGAAGTGAAGAAATAAGTGTGGTGTTTCTTTAGATTTTGGGTTTGAGAGTGTATTTAGTGTTTGAGAATCTTGAGAGTTTGAGAGTTTTTGAAGATTCTTTCCACACCACCCAAAGTCCTCCCCAGCTTGCAAATTGTTTCTCTATTTATAGAGAAAAGGTTAGAGGTGTTGGAGTAACCAGGTTTGTAGGATAACAAACCATGGTTTTGTTGAAAATGAAACAAGTTTGATCCCTTTCTCTGCTCCCAAGTTTCAAGTACAAGTAGGGTACTGATGTCTGTTGGGGGAAGGAGATTAGACTTATGCTTTTGGAACTGCTTGCATTCAGACAAAAATCAGATTGGGGGCTGATTTTGTGATTAAAGTACTCTTTATGAAAAAAGGGTACGTAGCTTTTTGCTATTTTATCCAAGAATAGTATTATCCAATAGACAAAGCTTCGAACCTTTATGTAATGCATCACCAATTTGTGTAAGCCTCTGATTATATAAAGATTTGGAAGAAACATAGCTTGGCAAGTGAGATTTGGAGGATAAGGCTATGAGATTTGCTCAATGTTCTTCAAACAAGCTTGCTTCGAAGGGTTCAGATTGGATTCGAAATATGCTACTTCGAAGGGAACCAATACTCCAATCGAAGCTTTGTGTGAAGGTGGCTCTTGTCCAATCGAAGGCTTGTCTTCTAGAGGTCACATGGCCAAACGAAGGGTGCATGTATGAGGTCTATGATTTGTGAATCAAAGCAAACATGTAGGGTGCAAATGGTGCAATCGAAGGATGTATGCAGGAGATCCCTGCTTTGTGGGTGCTAGCATGAAGGGGAATTCTTGCCTTGTGAATTTGGAAAACATGCAAAACCAATGACTTTTGAGTCGAAGGAGAGCTGCAGGAGGCCATTGCTTTATGACTCCAAGAAAACATGCAAGAGGCCTTTGCTCAAATGAAAGCTTGCATGAAGAGCCACTGTCCAATCAAAACTTTCCTGCAAGAGGTCATATGGCCAAACAAAGGATGTAACCCAAACTTGCATTCGAAGAAGGCCACAAGCCCAAACGAAAGATGCATGTAGGAGGTCCATGCTTTGTGAATCAAAGGAAACCTTCAGAAGGCTATTACCTTCTAAATCAGATGAAGCTTTTAGAATGTCATTTCACTCTGAATTGAAGGAAACCTGTATGAAGCCACTACCTTCTGAATCGAAGGACACCAACAGGAGGTCCTTCCCTTTTGAATTGAAGGAGGTTGTTTCAAAGGGAAACAAATTCCCAGTTGAAGCTTGTATAAAGATAGGCGTTGCCCTTGCTTTGTGAATCGAAACATGCAAGAAAGAGGTAATTTTATCAACAGAAGGCTACATACAGATAACCATTGCTTTATGAGTCAAAACAAGCATGTCAGGGGCCAATGCTCCGTCAAAAGATGTAAGCCAAGCTTGCATCGAAAGAGGCCAAAATTCCAATCGAAGGATGTGAAATCGAAGCAGGCATGCTTTTTTTTTATTTAATGTTTGAAAGCCCAATTGTACTTGTACAAATTTGATCTTTTGAAAATCCTTGTGAGGAAATGTCTTGAGAAATGAGAGGGCAAATTTTGGTGTACAACAGGGAAATTTGGCTCAAAGAAGGCCTAAAAAATATTGAGAAATGAGAAAGTTATGGGTTTTGGACCAAATGGCATGCCATTCTTGATTTTAGGTCAACCAACCATGTGCCAACTTGATTTTTCTTGACTTTCCTTGCATTCAAAGGCTCAATGATGATCACTTGGACATAACGTGAAGGAATCTTAAATGTTCTTTGAAGAATCTTGGTGAATTCTTGATAAATTGAATGAGGATGGCATGGAAATAAACACATGAGCCCTAATTTGATTCCTTTTGAAAACATGCATCCAACTTGAACTTGTTTTGGCCAAATGATGTTGAATGATTCTTGACATAAATGTGATCTAAGATCATAGGTCATGCCTTGAAGAAAAAGTCTTGTTAGACCACTTGTTGACCAAACCTTGAGCTTGAGAACCAAAACCCTAATTTAGCAACTTCACTTTATCGTTTGATTGGAAAACTCTACCTTGCACAAAAATAATGCAATACATATTTTTGCACTTTGAATAAGGGTTAGTAACGTATAAAAGGAAAAAAAGAAACACAATGGATGCTTGGTGATCTCTCTCAAAAGACAAACCCTAAAGGTTAGAAGGATACCATGCTTGTGATCTTGATGAGATGCAAATGATTATATGTAGGATCTTAGGGGTAAAAATTATGGTATCACACCAATCTCAAACTAAAGCTTTAATAAAACTCAGCATATCCAAACTTATAAGAGTACAACCATTAAAGAGAATGAAATGCGTACAAGACCAAATAGACCAATAAAATGTTAGAGAAAGAACAAGAGCAAAACAAGTGCTCCACATCCTCCTCTTCCGAAAAAACACAAGGGACAAACCACATTATGCACACCTTCAATAATTCAGCGCTTGGCTAATTTCATTCTTGTTGGCAACTTATTGAGAATTAACTTCCAACCAAAGATAAGGATTTTGCTAGGAACTTTAGATTTACAAAGGAAAGCCAACACTTTAGCTTTTAGAGGATCCAAAATAGGCATCGAACTGCAAGCTTCGCAAATCCTCTTATAATAATCTTTAATCGAAAACCCATCTTTATGACTCCACCACACAAAATGGTTTATTTCTAGAGGCTTAGGCTCCACCCCCATCAAAAGTAAAAGAAGCACCTCCAACAACAAAGTGTCAACTCAATTCAAGGACATTCCATTGAAACCGATGTCCCACACCCAAGAATTATTTGAGCAAGCCCCCGCTTCTCTCACTTTAATCTGAGGCTAAACACAACATCGAAATAAGATGGAAAATAAAACTTTGAAAGAGGGTGAACCTAGCCAATGATGTCTCCAAAAGTCTAAGGACTTCTAATTTCAAAGTTTACAAGAGATGGAAGAAGAATGTCAATTTCTATGATAGGAACTATACGTGGATTCTCCAATATAGCACAAGTCCTTCCACCACAAAGATGTCTTCCTACTCGAACGCACTCCACCTAAAACCTGTGTATTCACATTACCAAACCCCGACTTGCAATTACTTAAGTCTATTTATTTATTTTTCTATTAAAGAAATTTTTCAGTTCTTCACATTTAAAATGATAATTTTTTAGGGAAAATTACACCACATCCCTTGAGGTTGGTTAAAAAGACACTTACACTCCTCCTTTAACTTTAAATCATACATTAACCTCCCCTAAACATACATATAATAACTAAAAGTTGATTGCTACTAAAAACTATAGGGGAGTGTCGGTATTATTTTAATAGATTTAGGAAGAGAGCAATACATATTTAAAAATTAGAAAGAATGTTAGCGTCATTTCAATAGTGCTTAGCAAGGTGAATGTATTTTCTCATATGTGTGTATATATTTTGCTATCAAATAGTGCTTAGCAAGGTGAATGTATTTTCTCATATGTGTGTATATATTTTGCCACAGCTTGATAGTTTATATCGAGCCCCAATTTTAGAAAACAAAAGGCATATCCATGGGAATAGGGTTTATATGAAGCATCGCATTCGGTATGAATAGAAGAAAATGAAAATGTTTATACAGGCGCAGAATGTATTGCAGCAGCTCCATGAAAGAACCGAAAAATGCAGCGTGGGGTGTCCAATACTTGATCGCTGTCTCCACGGCGGCGTACCCACAAAATCAATAACAGAACTCGTGGGCGAAAGCGGAAGCGGCAAAACCCAAATCTGCCTCCAACTCGTCCTCTCGGCTCAGCTTCCACCTTCCCACGGCGGCCTCTCCGCATCCTCTCTCTACATATTCACGGAGTTCCCTTTCCCCGTCCGGCGCCTAAAACAGCTATCTCGCTCTCTGCTTTCATCTCATCCCGGTGTTCTGAACTCCGATCCTCTCTCCCGCGTGTTCCTCCGTGGCATTTATTCCGCTGAGAAATTTGTGAATTTATTACCAGACATTGAGATTTTTCTTACTTACTGGAAATCACGGTTGTTACCTGTTAGGGTAATCGTTGTTGATTCTATCGCTGCTTTGTTTAGATCTGAATTTGATAACTCTAGATTGGACCTTAGGCGTAGGTCATCCTTGTTTTTCAAGATTTCTGGTGGATTGAAATCCTTAGCGGAGAGGTTCGGGTTGGTTGTGGTGGTTACCAATCAAGTTGTTGATTTCATGACTGAGGGTGATAATCAAATGAGGATTGGGAATTTGACTCACTTGTATTCCTCGGGTCGAAGGGTTTGCCCTGCTTTGGGTCTTTCGTGGGCCAATTGTGTCAATTCTAGAATGTTTTTATCCAGGGATCAATATGGGGAGACCAAAAGGAGAACACTGACTCTTGTTTTTTCTCCTCATTTGGGTCAATGTTGTTCTGAGTTTGTAATTACTGGAGATGGTGTTTTTGGTGTATAGAGATGATGGTGCAAAGGAATGTATGAATTTTATTGTTTATGTGCTTTTATTTTATACATGATATGCAATTTGTTTCACGGCTCAAACCATTTTGTGATCGATTTTTATGTCCCCCTAATCACACATAACAATGTATGAAATACACCAACAATAACCAAACGAGATATGCAATGCAACTTGGACCGGACCTCAAGTGTCCGAAAACAGCAACGACTAATTGACTGCCATCGACATCACTCAAGGTGTCGACTTAGGCTTTGGAAACGACAATGTTCATAGCTAATTAATTTGATGGAGGAATGTTTTAGAAAATCCTTCATATTTCGGCGTACAACAAAACAAGTCTTGGATGATGTACAAATATCTAAGTATTAGATTTTTGTTTCACGTCCTTCATATTTTTCTAAAGTTTTATTTCATGTTTTTGTAATTTTATGAATAATGCAACCAAGTTTATTTTTATAAACTCTTCTTTTCTAAAATGATCATCAGCTCTTTGATTGTCATGCTCTTGTTAAATTCAAATCATTGTTAGTAGAATCCTTTTCAAGAATTGTTAAATAGTTTTTTGAATGGGTAAATCTCTTTTACAATATACCATTCTGATCTTACCGGATCAGATTTGAACCGTCACGACTGGCTCCGAGCGAAAGTTGAACGAGAGGGGGTACCTGCAAGGCACTCCAATGCTAAAATGAGTGATGGTACGAGCAGGCAAAAAGTGTATGTATGGGTAAGAGAATGAATATCTGGCCCTCTGGGAACAAAGGGTATTTATAGCCCCCAACGCGGGGCCAAGGTCCTTTCATTGGGCCGACCAGGACTGACCCAACAAAGAGACTGCCAGGTTCTACGTGTGTAGTGGGGACCCGCACGTGGTCTTCTTCTTGGTGATGCTCTGCGAGAAATGAGGAGGGACGAGGACGCGGTCTTTCCGGAGTTCTGGTGATGGGGTAACGGCCACAGTCAACCCTACGAGGAGGGTGCTCGAGCTGGGCTCGAGCTAGAGTTCACGTGGTCGAGGACACCTATGTTCGCGGGCAATGACGGGCACGGAGGCAACTTCTGGTCGACGCGCTGGCGGGAATCTTCGGGCGCGCGCTCCTTGAAGAGTTGCTTGGATTGGGCCTTCGTTCTTGCTCTTGGGCCAGGACGGATCCAGTCCAGAACAAGAGCCCCCCAAGTCGTGGCTCCTGGAGCAGGAGTTATGACTTGATCTCAGCTTGCCGTTGTCACGGGGTCTTATGCCCGGCCCAGGATATTTGCTTCCATGTGGTTGCTCGAGGAGTTTCTCATGAGTTGCGTTCGTGGGGTAATCCCTTTCGAGGCATGCTCGGGGGATTCTTTGCGGGCTGTGCTCGTTGGGTATACGAGGTAACCTTTGGGAACCGTGACGCCATCCTATTGAAAGTAGAGTCATCATTGCCTAGGGGAGTAGACGTCGAGGAGGGGAAGCTCGTGGTTCCCCGGGGTGACGTTTCGTATTCCACGCCATCCCTATAAATAGGATCCTTGGGTCCCATAATCTGTTTTTCCTCTTCGCGCTTCTCCTCCTTCCTCTGCCTTTGCCGCCGTTGTTTTTCCAGAATTTCATAGGACCACCGTGCTTTCCGCCGTCGATTTTCTTCTCTGCCACCGTACATTCTTCCTAACTTCCAAGTAAGCGTTTTATCCCTCATATTTTTCTTTGTGGTAGGTGATTTTTTCTGTTATTTGTATGTTAGAAATCCGCATCTGGGATTAGTGCCCGGTACATTCGTGTTCATGCCTGGTATATTCATGCTTGTGCCCGGTAAACGCATGTTTGTGCCCGGTAAACGCATAGCTTTAGGTATGTGACTCGCGATGCTGCCCGGGATATTCATGGTTTTGGGCGCATAGCCTATGATATTGCCCGGTAAACCCATAGTTCTAGGTTTAGGGTTCATGATATTGCTCGTCATATCCATAGTTTAGGTCGACGTACTCATGACTGGCCGGGATGTTGGCCCATTTAGGCAGTATGTAGGATGACTTGTCGTGGCACCTTAGCGTCGAGAAGGTGAAACCAGGCTCTTGTTTGAGTCCTCAACGTTTTAACATGCGCGGAGTGTGACTTGGCTTGTTGTGCCCTTCTTCCCGTCAGTTATGGCGAGCGTGTGGATTTGCTCCCAAATTGACCGGTTTCCTGTGCTTTGCAGGTAAAATGGCTGATGAACCAGAGTCTTCGGGGCGCAACGAGGTCGAGGACCAGAGTGCCGAGGAGAATGTAACTCTAATCGACACCGTTGATGATCCTTTGCTGGATTGGGTGGGCGCCGAGCCCAGAGGGATTGCCTCGGCATATAGTCGGCGCAGTTGGAGCGCCTACACTATCGTCGAACATGGCGGCAGTCAGCCGGGCTTCCAGAAAAACTTTGTTGTTACAAGACCGTCTCTTGACGCGCGGATCTGCTCGGAGTTCTCTGAGTACGGGTTTCCCATGTACGAAATCGCGTTCAAGGACCTCGGTCTCAAGCTCCCCTTTAGTGATTTCCAGGTCGGGGTATTCTGTCATCTAGACTTGGCCCCCTCGCAGCTTCACCCCAACTCGATCGCCTTTCTTCGGGCGTTCAAGCTGACGTGTCGCTTTTTAAGGATCGGGGCGACCATCCCTCTCTTCTTCAGAGTTTTTCATCTGCAACGCCAGTCTTGGGGAGGTAGGCATAGTCGGGTTTCCCTGAAACAGTCGAAGAGGCTGCTCAGGATGTACATGGATTCGGTCTGGGGTTTTAAGGACAAATGGTATGTCGTGCGGCCGATCACCCAGACTGCTCTGGACTCTGTATATGAAGAAGAGACTGCAGTGACCGACGTGAACGGGGAGCCTCTTATGGACAACGAGGGTCGCCTGGTGTTGGGGCGGGTAGCTAAGTTCCCGTTGCATTGGTGCTCGCGCCATTATGAGCATGGTACCGGGCATTACCATACGCCCGCGGGGGGGATGAGTTCCGAGGACGAGGAAGCCTACGGTACCTTTTGCAGATATGTCGACAGTTTCTTCCATGCTCGGTGGGCTACGAGGGAGGGGAAAGACATTCTTGACGAGGACGATTACCCGACCTTCGAGGCCCGTCCTATAGATACCAATGCGCTTGTCGAGTGCAAGTCCTACGGGCAGGCCGCGAACCTACTAGGTTACTTTTTGTCTTATGTTTTTGTTCTAGTTTCTTCGTTTGTTACTTGCTCGTAACTAACCCGGGTTTTCTTTTTTGCAAGCAATATGGCCGGGCGAAAGGAGAGGCTTTTAAAATTGACACAAGATAAGAAAGTCAACAAAAGGGTGGTCCGAGCTCCACAGGCAACTAGGATGGGGCCACCGACCAGCTCGGGTGACGCTTCGAGCGATTCCCTGGACGTCGAGCAACCCACTTATCAGATACCGAGGAAGAGAAGTCGGGTAGAGAGCCAGTCGGAAGTCGGTGACGAGTCTGGCGCGATGAGGGCCTTTGGCTTGCCCCCCTGCTTTAAAGAGGAAGGCTTCTTTTAGGGGTTTCCCTTGATAGTAAGTGCCTAGGAGGCTGAGACCATCAGGCGGCTGAATAAAGAAACTCGGAGAAAGCATCTGGCCGCCAGTATGGTCGGGATGGTCAAGATGACCGAGATGGCCGTTGTCCTCGTTGAGGAGGGGGCAGACTCTGACCGCGTCAAAGAACTGGAGCTGGAGAAAGCTGCCCTTGCTACGGGCTCTCGAAAGTTGAAGGCTGCTCTGGAGCGATCTGAGGAGATGTTCCACGAGCAAGCCGAGCTGCTGGCTATGGAGAAGGAGAACTCGGGGAAGGTTGCCGAGGAGAGGGACTATTTTCGACTGGATCGGGAACGCTTGGAGGCTGACAACGAGCGTCTGTCCAAAGAAGTCGAGGATCTGAAGGCCGCCATGCTCCTCGCCGAAGATGAATCGGAGGAGACAGCCCCCTTGTGGAGTCGCTCGGATCTGGTCGCGCGTATTCATCTCCTCGAAACGGACTGTGTTGGCGCCTTGACGGATGGTTTTAAGGCCGCGGTTAGCCAGCTCACTTTATTAAATCCTGGTCTGAATACCGAGGGGGTGGGTTTCATGTCCCAGATCATCGACGGCCAGGTCGTGCCTCCTCCCGAGTCTCCTGTCGCAGACGCTGGCAGCCCCGGGGAAGTCTAGCCATGAAATTCTGGTCGGGCATGCGCGCCAATTTATTGATAGTTGTTTTTGGGGCCTGCGTGCTTGTGCATATATTTTTTGGGGGCCTGCGTGCCCGTGCCTGTAACTTCTGAACATCGCCGGCCTTCTTGGTCGGTTTATTTTTATTTGTTTTTGCTTACGAGCCTTTGAATGAATGTTTGTTTCGGCCTTTAATATTTGCTCGTGTCTGTGTTTTTATATTTTGTGATAAAATTTGCCTAAGTTATGTCCCCGAGTCACGCCTGTGCTCGGCTGTTACTTTGTGGCAAATTTTCCTAAGTTATTTGCTCGGGGCATGCTTGTGCTCGGCTTGTTATTTTGTGGCGAAATTTGCCTAAGTTACGTCCTCGAGTGGAGATTCTTTCAACCCATTTGGTGGTCCGACATACTTTCAAAATGCGTCGATCATGCGGAGTAAAGCCGTTTGCTCGGACGTATGGCCCAGATCGGGGTCGCTTGCCCGTGGCGTGAACTGCCCATCGCGAGCTGGGTGTTCTACCATATGGGTACTTCGACGGTGAAGCTCGATTGAGGTGTCCCTGTCGGGCACTGTCATTCATGCTTGTTTGGCTGAACGACGTTATGTCGTTTGGGCGTAGATTGAGTCCGTACCTTGTCCTATCTACGTGGTCGAGACATTTCTCTCCGTTGACTGGATGTGGATGTTCGACGACAAGAGTCCTTGGTGTTAAGGGTTTTTTAACTATAGTACTGCTTTAGTTTAGCAGCGTTCCAGGGTCGTGGCAATGGTTCTCCGTCTAGTTGCTCGAGGTAGTACGCCCCGGTACCTGTGGTGCCGTGGACGCGGTAAGGCCCTTCCCAG